GCAGATCTCTGAGGGCTTTGGCAAAGAGACCTGTACTTTATTTCTGATTTTTCGTGTGCAGTTTGAGGGACAGTGACTCCCCCAGGGCTGCTGGCAGCAGCAGAGATGACAGCCTGGGTCTGTGGAGTCTTGATCCTGCCCTTTTACCAGCAACTGATGCAGTCTGCACGCTGTGTTTTGACAGGTCCTAAGATCTCCATTTCCCCATCAAACAGCCTCTAAAGCTCTTCTTCCAGCTGTTTAGGGCAGAGAGTGCAGAGGCACTTGGCTCTGCTGGTTATCCATATTCATAGGCATGTTCTGGGTGTCAGCAGCACCACATCCAGCCCTTAAACACAACGGATGCATCTGGTGGAGGCTCCTGCCCCTTCCCACCTGGGGAGCTGATCCTGGGCCCCGTTGTAATGCAGGAGCAAGCAGGGAGCGACCCAGCCTTTCATTCATTGTCCTCTTCTGTCCCACTTGGATATTTGATTTTCCTTTCACACCCGATTTTAGCAGAGGCTCATTGTTACCCAGCCCCAGCGTGTCCTGCTCTGACAGCTCAGGGATCTCAGGGCTGGCAGATCCCTTCCCTGAACGGGGTGTAAGAGCCTGGAAGGCCCTTGCTCTGCTGGTGGGCTCTCCTCAAGGGCTTTAAAGTTTGATGCAGTTTGAGGGGGTGCTCCTTGCACGTGTTTGTGGTGCTGGTTGTTCCAGTTCGTTTTGCTTCTTCATTCATGAACACTCAGTGCCTTGTCCAGGAGCTCAGCTACTCGGAAGCGCCTCTGATTGCGCAGCTATCTGCAGACACTTGGGTTTGCTGCTGGGGCTGTTATTTCTGAGCTTCCTTCCGCACATGGACAGCACAGAGCAATGGGCAAGACCTGCTCCGTGTTTGTCCCCACAAGAAGAAAACCACAGATCCCTCACATGAAGCAGCAGTTCTGCCACCACCCCAGGAGGACACCACTCTGCAAGCTCCTCAGCTTCCTCTGGGAAGGCTCAGGGCGTTTTGTAGGGTTATGGCACCATGGAAAAGGCAAAACATGACAGGGAGGGAGTGCTGGCAGGTGGCTGCCAGTGCTGGAGGAGATGCCAGGAGTCAAACACAGCTCTTGCCTTGGGGTTTCCAGACCAAAGTTCAGGAGGAGCTTTCAGTGCAACCTTTCTCACAGCCTGAGGGAGACAACTCCTCTACAGAGAGAGATGGAAGACTGAGAGGGAAAGGGATTCACAAAATCTCTGTGTTCTCAGCAGCTCTTTGGTCTCTCCATTTTGTATTAAGGTAGCTTTTGGGAAGCAGCCAGGCCTGGCAGGCAAAGGGAGCCAAGGTTTCAAACAGGAGTCCTGGTGGGCCCTCTGTCATTCACATCCTGGGCTATGTTCTTTCAGACTGATTGCTTCACTTTGAAGCACCGACCAAGCCCCATCTACTGGCACTGACAAATGAAGGTCCCCAAAAAGGGGAGGGGATTCCCAGCAGAAAATCTATCTGGCCTTTGGTGTAGATTTTGTCTGTGAAGATGAGGTGGTCAGCAGGGTAGTAGGCAGGCCGTTTACAGTTTTTTAAAATAAAAAATGGAAGATTCATCATTTCTTTGGTCTGACTTCCTCCACAGTTAGTCAGAAATCATGAGGAAATGCCAGTGAAGGAAGCAGGTCCTGCTCTGCCTGCTCAGCACAAGGCAAGTGTGCACATGGAGGAGGGGGGTGAGGGGGGCTCTGCTCATCCCGGGCAGCCCTGAGTGGTGCAGCAGAGACAGACCAAGAGCAAGCTTGCCTGGCATGTAAAGCAAAAATGACAAGGAACCAAATTAAAGATGGATTTCCACAGTCAGCACGTCCCAGCTGTGACTTTTGCACAAAATGAAAATTTGGAATAACTCCAGAAATGTCAGTACATTTCCCCCCATACTTATATACAGCACAAAAGTATCTTTTGCCATCCACACACCTCTCAGATTTTGCTTTTCTCTAGGCACCTCTGATTGGGTAAATGATACCCAAGGCTTATCAAACA